CCGGCCTCTACGGCTGGATCCCTATAACCCCCCAAAAAATCCTTGGGGAAGATTTTGGCTCCTGAGGCCCTCCGTGGGCCTGACGCGGGACCAGCGACCCTCTCTGGGCCGGACTTAGGAACAGGAGTCTTCTCTGGGCTTAACTCGGGAACAGGAACCCTCTCTGGGCTTAACTTCGGAATAGGAGCCCTCCTTGGGCTGGACGTGGGGACTGGAGCCCTCCTTGGGCTGAACGTGGGAATGACTATGGAGCGGCTGGCGAACGTGACAATGGAGCGGCCAGCGGACTTGACAGAGGAGCGGCCGACAGACTTGACTGAGGAGCAGCCGGCGGACTTGAGAGTGCAGCGGCCGGCGGACTTGATGGAGGAGCGGTTCTGGATCAGGGCCGGACGCTCTCCAGACACCAGAGGATACCTTCCCTCCAGCTTAGCCCTGTGGTGTCTGGGAGGTCCACGGGGCTATAGTAATTGGCCCCAATCCAAAACAGAGAATTGATGGTGGCATCGTCCAACGCCGTTGCCGCGGTGAGCCCGCAGAATTCCCGGGTGTACTCAATGAAAGGGAGATTCCTGCGGGCTAGAGCGGAGAACCAAGCGGCTATTTCCATGGCCGCGGGGAGAAACAGGAAAACAAAAGACTTTCAAAACACGAAAAAGAAAACGGGGAGAAGGGGCGCCTTCTCAGATCGATTCTGAGAATTTCAGAATCGATTCTGAGCTTAGTTTTTAACCAGATGCGCGATGAGGCTGAGTTTGCTTTAGAAACACCCATATTCTGCTTGCTTCCAATTCCTCACACACATACACCACTCGAACCGTTCCGTAAAATAATCTGTTATAAAGTTCGGAAAGGTTGAAGCAAATTACAAGGACATTCGTGGGCTTCATTGCACCGGATGTGCTGTGAGAGACGCGCGCTTTGTTTGATGTTACACGAAGTGTGTGGTCTCGCCCGTCAGTATTTTCCTTACAAATGCTCTACGAAGTCATCATTTATGTGGTTTGGAATGCAGTGGACATACAGTGGGTACGGAAAGTATTCAGACCCCCTTAAATTTTTCACTCTTTGTTATATTGCAGCCATTTGCTAAAATCATTTAAGTTAATTTTTTTTCTCATTAATGTACACACAGCACCCCATATTGACAGAAAAACACAGAATCGTTGACATTTTTGCAGATTTATTAAAAAAGAAAAACTGAAATATCACATGGTCCTAAGTATTCAGACCCTTTGCTCAGTATTTAGTAGAAGCACCCTTTTGATCTAATACAGCCATGAGTCTTTTTGGGAAAGATGCAACAAGTTTTTCACACCTGGATTTGGGGATCCTCTGCCATTCCAACTTGCAGATCCTCTCCAGTTCTGTCAGGTTGGATGGTAAATGTAAACCTTCGGCCCAGTCTGAGGTCCTGAGCACTCTGGAGAAGGTTTTCGTCCAGGATATCCCTGTACGATGGTTTCACACCTAATTCTTCACATTAATTCTTAATTCTTTTGAAGTTAATGTTTGTCTTTTCTTCTTCACCAGTTTTTTTTTTCTGACCCCACTGTCCCAGTGAGCATTTTGCTGACCAATGGTCATGCCTTAACTTTGACATTTCTGTATTGCATTCGTTTTTAATATTTCTCATGGGGATTTAATCATTTTTGACTTCTCAGTCAGAGTTAAATCTCTTTTTTGGCTCATTTCATCTGTAAAAGAAAACCTGCCTAATAATTCTGCACACTTTAATAAGGAGTTTTTTATTTCCAGCCTTCATGTACAATTATATATCACTTCTAAATGATTAAATACAAAAATAATAGTAGTTATTAAGATTGAAATGTGCTTGATATGATCAGAATATCAACGTGCCTAATAATTATGCACACACTGTAAGATGTGCTCCCTTCTCCCTTTGTGCCGCTATATCGCAAAATCGAAAGTGAAATTGAACAGCAAGCGCTTATTCAAATGCGATTTCAATACCCCGCATATTGATACGGCTCCCTGATGTGCGAAAATTATGGGGTTAAAGCACAAAAAATATTCTGACTGAATTTTTCCTCAGCCAAACCCCATTCCACAGCCATACCCGTCACACACTCAGTTTAAGAGCAGTGTTTTT